GGTTCGATTCCCAGTCAAGGCAAGTGCCTGGGTTGTAGGCCAGGTCCCCAGTAGGGGGCATGTGAAAGGCAACCACACATTGATGTTTCCCTCTCTCTTTCTCCTTCTCTAAAAATAAATAAATAAAATCTTTTGAAAAAAAGAAAGTGTGGTTGAGAGGCTCCTCCTAAACCTTTTTAAAATTTTTATTTATTTATTTATTTATTTTAGAGAGATGGGAAGGGAGGGAGGAAGAAAGGGGGAGAAATATTGATGTGGGAGAGATACATTGATCAGTTGCCTCTCACACGCTTCCAGCTGGGTATCCGGCCCACAACCCAGGCATGTGCCCTGACTGGAAATTGAACCAGCAACCTTTCAGTTTGCAGGCTGGCACTGAATCCACTGAGCCGCACCAGTCAGGGTATCCTCCTAAACCTTTCTTATGGGAGGGGAGACCTCGCCTTCCTATGCTTTCAGGCACTGCCCTTCTCGACCCCTCCCTTGGAGCACTGGGAGTGAGATTCCGGGCCACCAGGGACAAGGTGAGGCGTGGTCAAGAGGCAGTTGGGAACCCTTAGGCACTCTAGGTCCGGCACCGGCTGCAAGGGCAAGAGCCCGGGAGCACACAGCAAAGACCTAGACAACCCCAGGAAGTCCGCCGACCAGTGAGAGCCTTAACAGAGGGTCTGGACCTGCCCCCACACCCTCACCCACAGCAACTTCCCAGGGAGCCTGGCAGCAGGACTTGTGCAAGGGAAGACCTGTGTCAGGAGCCCCCGGAGCCTTGCTGGACAAGGGACTCGGTTGTGCCAAAGGGCCAGCTGGTTTCTGTAGGCAGGCCTGGTGCTAGCTGGGACGAGCCAGCAAGGCCGAGTCTGTTCTCGTGCCGTGCAGGCCACACAGCCATGTCTGCGATGCCCTGTGTGGTGGGACACCTCTCTGGGCCAAGTTCTTTGTTTGTATTGACTTTGGTGCTTCCCGTAGATTCCATCGGAAAGAGCTGTTCCTCAACATGTTTCTTTCACTGACTTCTCAGGATGCTCCCTCCATCCATTCTGCACGCACCCCCCCCCCCCCACCCAACCCCAGTACCCACTCTATCCCATCCCAAACCATCTTCCAGTTGTGCTAAGGGTGGGGCTGTGGTGTAGCACCATCTGCTCGTACTTGCCATTGAAGATGGTCGTTTTACCAGGGCTGCAGTGGTTTTACGAGTTTCAGGATGGGAACGAAAATAATCCCATGGGTTGTGTGGCTACTTCTGGAGAAAGGGCTAAACTGTCTGGGTGACTGCTGGTAGCCTGGGGTTGTGGGAACAACCCTTTTTGCTCCCTTCAGATACTGAAAACATTTTTGTGGTAAATTCTTACAATACATTTGTGGAGTGGGCAGGACGTGGGTTCCCTGGTGGATCTTTCCGTGTTGGCGTCATCCAGTCGTCAGGGTCTGCACGCAGCCCTTCAGTGCGTGCTGGGCCTGTCAGCAGACGGCCGGCGGCAGCCAGGGGCCGGGGAGGCGCTCTCCGGTGCTGGCCCGAGACACAGGACTGACTGGCCAGGCCTTGGAGGAGTGACCGCATGTCGCTGTCCCTGCACAGATCCTGGTTGTGCTGTCAGCTTGCTTGGCCACCTTCCTATTCTGCGCCTGTGTCCTCACCTGTAAAATGAGGTACCTTTCCCTCAAATGTTAGGGAAAGAGGGAAAAGGAACCCAGTGACTGGCTGAGATCATCTCACCTGTTGTGCCGGCTCCAGACTGACCCAGCACTGGCCCAGCCTCCCCAGGCACTTGAAACTAAGCGGCTCGTGGTAGCTGGTGGGTGAGGTTTGTGTGCAGGTGACTGCTGTGAGCAAACGCACACTTTGTGGAGCCTCCCGTGTGCCAGGCATGGAGTCGGGCGCCGTCCTGGAGGTCGATGCTGCCCGAGTTGTGCCGGTACGCAGATTCCAGGACATGAGGCGTCTTCCCCAAGCCAAGCCTGAGGCGTGGGTGCAGACTGGCCTAACTGAAGCTGGTCGTCTTTGCCATGTATGGAGTTACTCTGTCAGCCATCACGCTGAGCCACATTTGTGTTGGGCTGGGAGCTTCTTCCGAAGGACTAAGGTGCACAGAGGGGCTGGATTCCAAATGCCGAGGCCTGGCTCTCGGTGCTTTGGAGGACGTGAAAGTTTTTCAGGCCTGGCTCCCTCCTCTGGGGTTTTGTAGAGTCCAGGTGGGGGATAAGCTCAGACAGGTAGACATGATGTAAAGGGTCATCAGGGCCCCCGGGGACTTCAGAGGAAGCCAGGAGAAGTGGAGGGGTGCAGGATGGGTGGGATGGCTCCTTTCTGCTAAGGAACGAGGGAGGGTGTCCTGAGAGGCAACACAAGCGGCTGCCTTGAGACCAGCTGTGTTTGGTGCCTCTGGAGCTTATCGGGGACCTGGAGGAGATGGGCCGCGGCGGGACCAGAGGGAGGTGGGCACAGAAAGGCAGGTGCGTGGGCTCTAGAATCTCTTGTCCTCTCGGTGTGGAGCTAGCCAGCCTGCTGCTCTCCTGCCTCCCTCTACCCCGGTTTGCCGGCTTCTTCTTCTGCCCCCATCACTCCAGCTTTGCTGTCGTCCTGAACAGGTGCCCGAGGAAAGAGACTGGCTACTGAATGGCTGATGGGCACACTTGACCCACCCATGAGGCTGACAAGGCCACCCAGGTGCCTCTCCGTCTGTCCCCACGGCCGTGGATTGCTGGAGGACCAGATGACCGAGTCCGGGTCGCTGAGTCTTACCCAGCCTTGCTCCCTGGCAAACTAAGTTGCATGGACCCTTTGTGGGCCTCGGTTTCCTGCCTGCACAGAGGCCAGGCGGTCATCTGCCGGGGTGGCTAGGATCAAGTAAGAACCAGAGAGGCTAGTCGGGCCAAGTTTTCTGTGACTTAGCCTCCCAGACTTTGATCCCAGCCAAGGGTCTGTGACCTGGTGGACAGACACCCACCGCCTAATCCATAACTGCTTTGGCCTCAGTTTGTTTCCAGAGAGGTGGCCAGGGACAGGACGGGAGCGATCATGTGGCCTTTTGAGCCCTTCAGAACCTAAAGGGTAGAAACTAGAATAAGAGGCTGGAAACATCTGGTCCAAAGAAGGGCGGGAAATGAGGATCTGAGCTGGGAACGAGGGAAAGATCCCCTCTCCTGCCCCCTCCCCCACCCAAGCAGGAAACTGTGCTGAGAACCGACTATTTAAGAGGGCCCCTGGGGAGGCCCGGCCAGAAGGGAGCCATTTGAGGAAGGGTTTAAACTAGCCGGGGTGAAAAGGGTGGCCCGGGAGGAACTGGAGCAGAAGTTTCTATGGGGTGGCTCTGGCTCTGTCTTTGGCCCAAACTCCACCCCACCGTCTCAGGGACGGAGCGGTGACCCAGGCCCACCCCCACCCAGTGGGAACCTAGCTGGCTTGCACTCCTTCAGCCCATCCGTCCTCTGAGGGTGGGCTGGGTGCCCAAGTCCTGGCACCCAGAAGCAGGTATGGTCTCTGCCAGTCCAGATGAGTGTCAGGTCTGCTGCCATTAGAGAAAAGCTGGTGACCCTAGCAAGCCACTTCCGTGTAGGGGGTTACGTGGAAATTAAAGGCCCTTCCATCAAAAGGCAGGGGGTGTAGAGGATGGTTGCCTTCTGGAGTGCAGGGGCTCACTTGAGCCCACCCTGGAGCCTCGGCTGTCCAGTTTCTCCCAGGTGCCTCTGGGGGCGGGCCAGCACTCGAATGCTGTCTGTGCAGGGATGCAGAGCTGCCGGGGCTGTGAGGCGGGGCTGTGAGGCGCACAGAGCCCTCACCCCGGGCCTGGGAGCCTGGGAGCTGGGCGTGTCTGGTGAGAGAAAGGCCTGGCTGGGGGGGCGGGGGGGGGGGCGGGAGGTGCCCTAAATGGCAAGGGTTTGCTTCTTGACAAAAATTCATGTGAGTGAAGAAGCTTGTTCTTACCCATTTTTTTTTCTAACCAGGCACAGGCTGGGAGTCATCCTTGTGGGGTGGGAGCAGTGACACCAGCAGCTGGGTTCCTTAGCCATTCTTGGCCGAGTTGTTGAGATGCGTGCACATGTGTGCCTGTCGGGTGTGATGCTGCCCGGCTGCCCTGGGCTCCTGATCAAGCCGGTGTCTGGAACGGCGCTGCTGGCTGGGTCCCACAGGCCGGCACGCAGCTGAGGAAGCCAGGTCTGGCCGGAGTCACAGGTGGACATCCGGTGTCTAGACCTGGCTTCACCACCAACTTGTGACCACGTGGAGGGCAAGGCTCATAATTGACAGCATCACCTGCCTCACTTGAAGCTGGCGAGATCCTGTTCATTCTTCAAAGCCCAGCACAATTGTTCCATCTCCGAGTCCTCACCCAAGTCTCTTACTCAGTAAACACTTAGTACCGGCACTGTACTAGGGGCCGGGCATGGAGGCAGGAACAGAACACGTTCCCGGCCACTTCTGAAGCGTTTGCGTCAGAAGCAGTAGGAGGTGGATGTGGAAGTGGCGGGCCCTGTGACGAAGCCGCTCCAGGGTGTGGCGTGGCACCTGTGTTCCACTTGCACCTTCGCCTTTTCCTGGGGCCAGACAGAGCCTCTCAACCTGGGGTCCATGGGTATCTGCTGGAAAATACATACATTTTAACTTGCGCGTTGGGCGGAGGCAGGATGGGACATAAGACACCACAGTTTGCTTCGGATGTCAGAGGGGTCCTTGGTCTTTGCACTTATCAGGTAGGGCCCTCTCCTGTGCGTGCGCGCTGCACTGCCTCGCCCAGAGGTGCAGAGCAGGTGCTTGCTGAGTGGCATCTGGACACCTGCACGGTGAGCCTAGAGAAAGGAAGGCGCACAGGAGGGGCTTTGAAAAGTTAAATGCTGAAAAAAACCTCTGCGTGTTCATTTGCCTGGGCCTCCAGAGGAGGCCCGGGAAATACGGATTTCCTCCCTTAACTCTGGAAGGATCCAGTCCTTTCCTGATGGAAGGGCCATCGTCCCTCTCCCTCAGTCAGTCTGGCCCTGACCCCTGTGGTTTCTGTCCCCAGGTCCGGACACTGTTCGTCAGTGGCCTCCCTGTGGACATTAAACCCAGAGAACTCTACCTGCTGTTCAGGCCGTTCAAGGTGAGTCTGGGCCCGGCCACACATGGGCGGGGGTGGAGCCTGGGGTGGAGGCGAAGCATCAGGAATGAATCTCTGGCCTGGACCGGGCAGCAGGAGGACGTAGGACAGTCTCAACACCTGTGATCACAGACCTGACCCTCTGTCCTGGTGCTGTTAGTTCACACGTTGTTTTCTGGTGACTGTGCACCCCTTCTGAGCCTCTGTTTCCTCATCTGTAAAGTGGGGGTGTGGAGAATCTCTGTAGATTTTGCCATATAAATAATCTTTGAGATTCACTGTAGCCTTTTCAGTTTGCAGATGAGAAAACTTAAGAAGGTAAGCTCGGTGCCTCTGGATTCCAAGTCAGTGGAGCAAACGGGAATTTGCGCATGAAATGATGACCGCTGTGGTGTAATGCCCACCCATGCGCCACTCCATGTGATTCAGAGTGCGGGGTGGAGGGCGCCCGACGGCGGGGGGCAGAGAGGGTCAACTCTGGGGGAGGGGAGCATGAGAATGAGACAAGAGAGCAGTAGGGAGAAGGGATGGGGTGTCGTCGGTGGCTGGGACAGCGCAGCAGTGGCTCTGACCTTCCCTGTTAACGCCTGACCTCTCTCTGCAGGGGTACGAAGGGTCCCTGATCAAGCTCACATCGCGACAGGTAATTTCTCTCCAAGGTTTTTCTTCCTCTCAGCCCAGCCCAGCTACCGAGCTTGGAACTAAGTCTGTTGCCTTTAACTCAATCATGAAGCATTTTGGGCAGCTGAGACTGGCTGTGTCCCTGTGTCCCTTTTGCATCCTGAGCTGATGAAAGTGGCCCCACAGGTTCCTTCTTCCTCCTAGTGGGCTCGTGGCCCTCCCTCTCTGACTCTTGAGGACCCACAGTCTGGTGCCAAGGTGGAGGCCCAGAGACGTGGTGGCTACGCTCTGGCCCCAGACGCCAGGCGGCAGGGGGCCATTCTGGGTCTGGACCAAACTGGGGAAATGAAATTGGGGGAGTTTCGATGTGTTTGCCCTTGATTACATCTGGAACCTCCCCACGCACTTGATATATCAGAGTCTGCTTAACTTCCTGCAGAAAACATGGATTTTACTCTTAATCACCCGCATTCATTAAAAAAAAGGACTTTTACTGAGAGGGCAGCGGCGTTCAGTGCAGTGGATAAAGCTCAGTCGGCACCATTCCACACTGTGGTGCCTGGCGGGAGGCTTCTGGTGCACCAGAACTCCTGTTCCAGCCGGACACAGGAAGGAAATGGACAAGAGTGGCTTTTCATTGCTTTGGGGGGTTTTTTTGGTGTGTCTGTTTGTGGAGGGGGAGATGAATGTAGGGAGAGATGCAAGGGTGTTCTCTCTTTTTCCTACTAGCCTGTTGGTTTTGTGATCTTTGACAGCCGGGCAGGAGCAGAAGCAGCCAAGAATGCATTAAACGTGAGTAGACAGAGAACAGGTCTGTCTCTGACCCATACACCCCTGCCCAGGCAGCACGTGTCCTTGTTCTGTCTTCTGCAAACCCTCCCTGGCTCCTCGCCCAAGGAAAGGGCCCAGAGACGTGCCTTATTTCCCAGCAGCCCTGGGGCAGAGTCCTTGGCTGTGCTATCTCGGCCAAACATCACTACTCACAAGGCCCACACAGTGGATCCTCTGTCTTGGCCCCATGTTGGTGGGTCCTTCTGGCAAGACGTTTCTGGGGACCCTCTGCACCCGCTGTAGTGGACAGTCTGGGTTCTACAAAGTCAAGTCTTTCCCTTCTTTTTCCTTCTGATATAGGGCATTCGCTTTGATCCAGAGAACCCACAGACCCTGAGGCTAGAGTTTGCCAAAGCCAATACCAAGATGGCCAAGAACAAGCTAATGGCTACACCAAATCCCACCAGTGCACACCCCGCCCTAGGAGCACACTTCATCGCCCGGGACCCCTGTGAGTGGCACTCAGAGCTGCAGTCTGCTGCCCTTGTACTTGGCCTGAGCTGAGAGCCCCAGTGGTGTGTGATACAGAGAGCAGATACTGAGATTCTCATTGAGAGAATCAGAGTGCTTGCATGCCCCCCTTTGGAGGAGGCTGCTTGCATCCACAGCCACCTTTCTCTGTGGGTCCCACACATGCGTCCTGCCCTGCAGCCTTTGCTGGACCTCAGACAGCCTGAGCCCCTGAGCTGTCAGCCTTGCTCAGTTTCCCTAAAGCCCTCACTGATTTCTCCTGGTTGAGATTGCAGCAGGCCCATCGAGAGCTTCTCGAAGCAGACAGGATGCTCACCATGCCAGGCCAAGTTAACACAGCTTCTTGCCCTGGTCTCAGGGGGAGTCTGGTCTGAGTGGGGACCTTATGCTTCAACCATAGAGCTGAGTCCCCTTCTGTGTGTGGAATGGGGTGACGGAAAGGAAGACTGGTGTTCTGACAATAGGGGCTATTGTCTCCCTTTGTAGATGACCTGATGGGGACTGCTCTGATCCCCACATCCCCAGAGGCCTGGGCCCCCTACCCTCTGTACACCACAGAGCTGACCCCAGCCATCTCACACGCCGCGTTCACCTACCCAGCTGCCACTGCTGCCGCTGCCGCCGCCCTGCATGCTCAGGTAAACTCTCACTCTTGGAGAGAAGCAGGAAGAGGGTGGGGATGAAGCCTCTAAGCTGGCCAGGCTTTGTGCCCACCCAGCCTCTGGACCACACGAGACTCCGGAGCTGCAACAGAGCTGCTGTCCTCCATGACAGTGCCTTTGGGGCTCGGCTCTGGCAGAGAGGAGGGAGGGGGCAAGCTGTGAGGCCACGTCGAGGGTCCGAGGCAGAGTCCTGAGAAAGTCCCTGCTGAGGTTCCACCACCCCCCGAACACTCGCAGCGCTGCACTGCCTGCCGCCCATGGCGTCGGAGCCATGGTTCACATACCAAGCTGAGTGTGGTCTCTGGGACCCAGCTGCCTGTTCCTGCTCCTCCTGTCTTTATGAACTTGAGAAAGCTCTTAAAGATTTCCGTGCCTTGATTTTCTAGTCTTGTGGAAAGGGAGAGTAGGTAATATTATCTGCCTCAGGGTTGTCATGAGATTCAAACACTAACACACGAGAGGTGCTAGAATGGTGCTTGGGCTGAGCGTCCCGAGCGCTCAGCGATCTCACAGAGCTGGGGCGCTCTCGCTTGTGCGCGGGCTGGAAGGAGGATGCGCGTACTTCCAGGGGAGGGGCAGGGCAGGGGAGCTGGGCCAGGAGGGCTCGCTGCTCACTGGGTGCCATGCTGGGTGCTCGAGAGGCAGACAGGCAGGTGGGCAGGTACCGGCCGGTCCCTGTGAGGCTGTGACAGGAGTGCCGGCTGTGTGGCTGGGCAGCAGCGAGCCCACCTCAGCCTCTGATCGGTGGGAAAGAGTGACCTGGCCAGGGTGTGCCGTGCTATCGAGAGGGCAAGAACAGCAGCTGCCTGGGCTGGACCAGGGCAGTAGAAGGGGACGAGGAGGAAAAGGAAATGAGAAGTCAGGAAGGAAGAGTTCTCAGGAACTGGAAGCCGCGGTGGGAGGAGTTGGCTCCTCTGACGGAGGGCTGAGTTCCTCTCTGTCTCAGTCCTCCGGAGGCCTTGGTGACATCTGGGTGGCCCAGTTCCAGGGTGGAAGGTTCGGATTCTGGGGCTACTACCCTAGCAAACCGTTTTCCCTGGCAGGGGAGTTCTCCCCGGCCGTGGCCACTTTGGACTGTGCTGTCGGCAGAAGACGTTAACCTTGGCTGTGTTCCCAGCTGCATGGCACAGACAGCTGGGAAACTGATCAGGGTAGGAAGGTGGTCACGATCTTCCCCCGGAGGGAAACGTTTGGGTATTTACCTCCAGTCGGGTTCTGGGGTGGGCACAGAGCAGGTAGCAGGGAGCGCTGTCCCTGTCGTCTCCGACGGCTCCTGGCCACTCGGGGAGTTGAGCTGCTGGGGTCCTGGCCTCTCATCCCAGCTTTGCCACCCGTTAGCTACCTGATCTCCGGCAAGTGGCTTCACCCCTGGGCCTCTGTGTCCTCGTCTGTAAAGTGAGAGCGTCAGACCAGATCGGGTGGAAGGTTCTGCCTCATCTGCTGACTCTTGGCCAAGACAGTGACGGGCAGAGGTTGGGAGCCAGGGACAGTTAGTGTGTCAAGTGAACAGGGGGAGGCGCCTCCGCCCTTCCCTTCTTGGGGTGCGCCCCCCCCCCCACACTGTCTGGGGCTGTGTGCTGCTACCTGCCCCTGCGGGCGCCATGCCCTCCTGTTACCTGCCTGATGGAGGCTTCTCCTTTAAGAGGGTGAGACAGGCGAGAGGTGTGGGTGGCAGAGGCACAGTGGGGTCGGCATGTATGGATAATGGCCTGAAGGCAGGGGTCCTCCGTGTCCCCTTATGTCCCAGGGTCCTCCTGGACTGGACTTTGTTTTCTGTTTCATCTGAGGGAATGGGGTCTCTCATTGTGACTCCCCCCACTTTCTCAAACTGACTCAGCCACTGAATGATAACCTCGAAGTTGCATGAGCTTTCTTACCTCTCTTTTCTTGTCTGTATAATGGAACAGTAACAGTGTCAACTTCGTAGGGTTTTTGTAAGGATTGAAGGAACTTAGTACATGAAAACTACTTAGACCAGCACGTGGTACATGCTAAGTGTGTCATAAGCATCAGCTATTAGAGGTCTGTGTTTATGGGAAAAAAGAAGGCAAGTGTTTTTCTTCTTTTTTCCCTTTGGTTTATCATCCTGTTCCCTAGAAAACTGCTACTTTTAGACGATAGACTTGGTAGACAGTTGCATACATGTGTGTAAGTAAATCTCTGTAGAAGAATCTTTTACAAAAATCACTGTATGCACACTTAATCTTTTAAACCTTAAGTGGCAGGACGCTTTCCCACGTCAGTAAGGGTTGCTCTGTGTTGTGTACGCCTGGCCGGCCCACCGCTGTGGGAGCGTGTTGGGTCCCTGTAGGTGGTAAGTAGGTTGTTCACACCATTTCTCGCCCCCGATGGGCCGGCTGCAGCGGACGCCCTTGCTCACACCTCTCTGGGCACCTGTCCTGCTTGTTTTCTGTGTCAAAGATTCCTAGAACTGTTAGGACGTCAAAGTGCAGACTCGCCTGTCTGGGTTAAGTAAGACTGGGTATTGCTTTAATTGACATTTGGACGAGTGAGACTCCTGTACTTATTGGCTGCTTGTGTTTCTTCTCGTGTGGATTCATTCCTTCGCCCGCTTCACTTCCTGGAGAGTCTCCTCAGTCAGTCAGCCCCACGATGTGAGCAGGGACTGAGTCCGTGCCCCCTTTGTTGAGGTGCTGATCCTCTTGGAGCCTGGCTCATTCTGGATACCCAGGGGCATCCCTGCGGGGTGGCCTCTCAGGACCCCAACCCCCTGTGAACAGCTAGGGGGCCGGGAGGGTCCGTTGTCCTGAGCTGGCGCAGGAGTGGACTGTGCTCCCGGGAGGACACGGGCTGGTGGCCGCTGGCCTGAACGAGGGTTCTGAGGGGAGCGGAAACTCAGCCCACTTCAGGGCAGGGCCGCCTCGAGCTCAGAAACGGGGTCTCTCCTCTACTTCCTCCCCGAGAGGGTGGCCGACCCATCTCAGGCTGGGGGAAGCTGATGCCTTGGGGGCAAAATTCCAGCGCTTGTGGGGAGAGGGGGGCTCCCCGAGGGACCCCTCAGACAGCTGTGAGAGGCCTCCAGTGTCCCTCCCGCTCTCATCCAGTGTCACCCCCTCCTCCAGCCCTGCAGGGCACCCAGCTCGGCGGGCACTCCCTTGTTGGGGGCCGCTCCAGCCGGAGGCTGGCTGGGTGGGGGCGGTGGTCAGGACCCACCAGGGGATCCCCAGAGCCGTAGCACAGGCTTGTCCCGCAACACCGGTACTGGTTTCCTCGTCATCCTCCTTGTGGGCCAGCACTGGTATCCAGCCGGGCTTCCAGCTGGGAGGGCACCCGTGGCCCAGCAGAGGGGAGGAAAGGCTTCCTGCCACTCAGCTGTCAGCCGGGCAGGGAGGGAACCGCCTCCAGACATTTAGGAGGCAGGAAAGAAGATCCCTCGGCCCCCGAGGCTGGACAGCTCAACGGCTAGAAGAGGCTCTTGACCCTTTCTGCGTGGTGTGGGGCTTCATCAAGGTAGTTCTAGCAGCCTGGGGTCAGCTGTGTCCTGGTGACAGCGGTGCCATGTGCCTGGAGCCCAGAGGAGACCCTGGCATTGGTCAGGTGACCTAAGACTCTGCCCTGCTATATGTTGCACCCCAAGCACCCCGACTCCCTGCTGAGCGTATGGTGGCCAGAGCTCTGCACTGCACAGAACAGCACCTCGCAGTTGGAGGGGCCCGGGAGCAAGTTCTCCGGGAGCTTCCATCTGCCCCCCAAGAGGCTGGGACCCCCGGTGGCCATTGGGTAACAGCCTCTGACGGCTTCCCCGGTGCTACTCGCTTCCACCTCGGCTCCCGTGTACCGGCCCTTCCTTTCCTGAGGGGACCTGGGCTCCCGTCTCTGGGTGGTCTCCCCCCTGCACTTCCCCCTGCGGTGCCCGAGCCCCACCCGCACCCAGGCAGTCACCCTGGCTGTGATTGGGGCAGTGGCTTTCCCTGCAGGCTTGGCTTGGCCCTGGGCACAGCTTACCTTCCCGACAGCGGGCCTGTGGGGGAGGGTGCGCACGTCATGTTCCGACTGGTTTCTGGGAATCCTGCTTTGGGGGGGTCATGTTCTCTGGGACCTTCTGGAAAGTGCTGGGGTTCTGTAGCTGACGGCCTGCACTCGAGGGCTGAGCTGGTGGGTTACAGATCTCTAGGCCTCAGAAGGTTGACGTGGAGGGAAAAGAGGGATAGGGAAGTGGAGACTGGGAGGACGCAGCATCTGGGTCTCGTCCTTGGCCTCCCGCAGAATTGTACGTGGACGGGACCAATGTCTGGGGTCCTGCCCTTTGGAGACCGCACTGACTTTGCTTAGTCCAGTGTTTAACGTTCTGTCGTACTGACCCTCACACCTGTGCGCGGCTTAATCCTCTCCAGCCTGCAGCTGTGTGAGGTCGCTGAGACTGAAGGAAGTTGAGCAAAAATGTGCTGGGTTCGTTCTCCTAACGTTAGGAGTTCCACTCTCTCCCCGTGGAGGAAAGAGGGAAGGGCGGGTCGGTGGCACCAGGGCCGCTGGCTGCCAAGACTCCGCCTGGTGCGGCCTGGCACGCCCCGGTCGGCCTTAGTGGAGGGCAGCACACGGTAACCGTCCTCTCTCTGAACCTGCACCCTGAGGAGGCAGCCAGGGCGGCGGCCTCTCCTGTTTTCAGGTGAAGAACCTGAGACCTAGAGGTGAGTGACACTGGCCAACGTCGGCCTGTCAGGGACAGAGCCAGGGCTCCAAGGGGACGCAGAAGGCCGTGCCTACAGGGCCCCCCTGTGGAGGGAAGACTGCACAGCGAGCTCCCGGCGTCGCTTCTCTTGCAGGTGCGCTGGTACCCGTCCTCCGACACCTCCCAGCAAGGATGGAAGTACCGTCAGTTCTGTTAGTTCCTCAGTGAGTGAGTGCTGGCCTTGAGGCCCAGGGTGAGTGTCCTGGACCCAGGCTCCCTGCGGGGCCTGGTTCCTCCCCGCCGCCCCCCACCCACCCCCCAGCCTGAGAGCCTGCTCGAGGCCTCTCTGAGGTCACGCACTGGACCCTCGGCTGCTTCCACCCCCTTCTCCTGCCACCCTTCCTTTCCCGCACCCCTGCCCTCGGACTCCTCACACAGGGCAGGCCCGGGGTCGGCTCCAGCCCTGCACCTCTGCTCACGGCCACCTCTCTGCCCGCCCTCTAGGTCTAGTTACCACAGCTTGAAGCCCCCGCCGGGAGGAAGCTGCCCTGAGCTTCCACTGCCCCCAGGCGGCCTGTGGAGAGCTGCTGCCTCCTCCAAAGACTGTGAATTTTAAGCCTGACTCAGTGGACTGCTTCCTGTTTCCTTCTCTCCTCTTCCTCAGCCCTGCCCTGCCCCAGAGCCCTCCTCCCAGGCCTCAGGGGAGGACTGGGGGGCCAGCGGCCAGGACGCCCAGACCCGGCTCAGGGGGGCCTCACTGGGACTGAGCAAGGCCCGACCTCCGCTCCAAACTTGCCTCTGTGGCTTCACCTCAGAGAAACGAGGCATTTGATTTTGCATGTTTTCTGGCATGAATTAAGACACTTAGACTTGTGTATATGTGAGTGTACAGTTTGTTCTCACATGGTGTCACCATAGCAACAGGTCCTGGCCTTTCCTGGTTCATCATTCCCGGTGCCTCTGTCCACGCCTCTCCCCTGCACCCAGCCTGCTTCCGTGGGCCGAGCCCCGCGGCCAGTTCCGCCCTCCATTCCCCACCACCCCGCACCCTTCCAGGCCGAACAGCAGCGACCACCCAGCAAAGAGGAGTGTTTCCGTTTCAGACCAGGGTCCTCCGCCTCCCCCTCAGAGGGGCCCACGGCGGTTCGAACATCCCTTCTCTGCCCACGTCGCTGACCTGCTCACCACACACCCTGCTGCCGCTCCTCGTTCTCTCCAGACTTCGCAACCAACCAAAAAGTGAAAGTATTTTTGTACCCTGTGTAACGAAATATTTATGCATCATAAAGGATTTTTCGTGTGTGTGTGCAATTAATTATTGAAGAGACCTTGTTCGCCCTGTCAGATAAGTTTAATGTTTAGTTTGAGGCATGAAGAAGAAAAGGATTTCCATTCTCCAGCCACGAGCCTTTGTGTCAGGCGTTAGTTTAAGGAAAATGAAGGGAAAATTGTGCAATTTTTTGTTTCGCGAGCACGCCGGTGCTTCGCCTTTGGCCGCGGCTGCGGCTCTCGGCTGTTTGCAGACTCGGGAGGCGAGGTGGCTGTTGTTAATTGCGGATCCTGCGAGAATGTGAATCTGGATGATGTATGAAATGCAAAATAAAAAATCATCCGAAGTAACTGCTCTCCGACCTTTGCTTCCACGGGATGTGGGGTGGGGGGCAGGGAGCGGCCATGACGGGGGTGGAGGGCAGATGTCGAGGGTTGGGGGGAGGGTGAGGTGGCTCCCGGCCTGAGAGCTCTTGTAGCCTCTCCTCCTTCCCTTTTTGGTGTCACTGGAGTCTAAAGGGGACCTTCCTTGGGGTGGAGCAGGGATTTGTGATTTGTCTGCCCACCTGGGGTTTGAGTCATTCACTTCATTCAAGATTCTGTGCCCCCACAGAGGCCCTGGGAGGGAGCCCTCTCTCCAGGCTGCTATCCACTGGCCGGGCCCTTCGTGGCCTCTGTCACTTGCAGGCCCCCTCGCAGAGGAGGGCTGTGGCCTGGGAGGCCAGGCTCCTGTGCGCAGTGTCCTTGGTGCTTGTCTTGTGAGGCTGTGACGCAGGCGAGGGCACCCAGCAGCCTGGCGCAGAAATGGGGAAGCTCACCGGCCCATTGGGCTGAAGCTGCAGCTCTGCTTCCCGAGGGGAGGTTTGCTGGGACCCAGCACACACGAGTAGGAAGGTCGGGAACAGGGTGGCGCCAAGGCCCCGGCTGCAGTGGACCCCGTCGGGACACCCGTGGCTGGCCCTGCTTCTTCCCCTTTGTCACCTGGGGCCTTGGCGTCCTCCTCAGTGATGTGGTTTCAAATCCCTTCCAGCTCCCGCAGGGTTGGAGCACTGGCCTGATGGGGCTTTGCTGTTTCCCTTTTCTGCTCGTGGCCCCTCCCCCAGGCCCTTTGCTGCTGGACTCTGAAGCTGTGCCTAGAAAGGAGGGAGGGCAGTGGGGGCCCCAGAGCCTCCTGCCACAGGGGCAGCCCTGGTCACCGCCTCACCAGCACTGTGTGACCTCAGGGTCCCTCCACTCTTGCCTCAGTCCTCCACGCCCCAGGCCTGCACCAGGTGACATGGGTCTACTGTGTTCTGCTGGTGGCTATGTCAGCTGTCAAAGGCCCCGGGTGACACTGGCAGCCCCAGCTGATACCTGCAGGTGAAGAGAGGACACAGCACCCCCAGGTGCCAGGAGGGCTCTGGCCCTGCGAGTAAATGGGTTTCAAGTGGTGGGTTACCTGGACCCTTGAGGGAGGCTCTGGGAGGAGGGGCGATGGTGTTTGTGTCCATGTTAGCCGGGGGGGGGGGGGGTGCTCTCCTGTCTGTACCCCCCCACCTCAGTGCTGTATCTGGGTCAGCTGGGCACCTGCCAAGCCAGCCAGGCCTAGCCAGCCGGCATCCCCCTCTAGTGCTGGTGGGGAAGCTGCTCAGAGCCCCACACCCCCACCCAGGGCCAGGGCGGTAACTGACCTACTTTAGCTGTGTCAGGAACCACTGGGTCTTCCTGAGGTGGTGAATTATTTAGCTGGGTGCTTGGGCCTTCCTGAGAGGGGCTAAGAAAGCTGCTCCATAATTTAAAGGCCCCTGCTCCTCAGGCTTCCCTGGGGGGCCTCCTTCACACTTTGCTGAGCAGACCTCAGGCCCCTGTCTGAGAGGAGGGGCCGGGAAGGGGAGCAAGGCCCTAAAGCCGCCCCGGGTGGGGGGTGGGGGTCGCTCTCCAGCGGGCCTGGGGCCTCCCAGAAGGGTCTTCATGGACAGGACAGTCACAGTTGGGCTGAACTGCAGGTGACGAGTGTCGGAGAGTCACGGAACTTCCTGGCAAGGACGCAGGGGGGCCAGGGAAGCAGCCAAGTCCCGACTCCCCATCCCCATCCCAAGCTCTTTCCAAAAAGCACCTTATTAGTGGGCTGACCGAAAAGTTTGGGTTTTTTCTGCACAGTGGCTCTAGTAGCACACAGTTGTCTCTAACTTCATTCAAAACAGTCTTGTTAGATTGTGACATCTGTCATATCAGTGCATTAAAAAATACTTTTAATATTAAAGATGGAAGAAAGTACACATTTTTGGCACATTATACTTTATTATTTTAAAAAAGGTAAAACCACAACTGAAACAGAAAAACATTTGTGCAGCGTATGGAGAAGGTGCTGTGACTGACCGAACGTGTGAGAAGCAGTTGGCGAAGTTTCGTGCCAGAGACCTCTCCCCGGAGGGTGCTCCGGGGCCAGGCAGAGCAGCTGAAGTCAATAGTGATCAAATCCAGACGCTAACTGAGAACAAGCAATGTTATGCCACGCAGGAGATAGCCGACATACTCAAAACATCCAAATCAGAAAAGTTTTGGTGAAAATGAAAAATGTGTCTTTTATTTTACAGAAAAAATGAAACGGACTTTTTGGCCAACCCTCTACTTTCCAGATGTGCTTCATCCTGTTCTGCGGGTGGAAGGCTTCTCTCCTCTCTGGAAGGGTGTGGGCACCCCGGAAGTACCGGGGCTCTTTTGCTCAGGGTGAAACCCCCCTCGTGGCAGAGGACAAGTGCACATGCCTCCTGCCCCACTGGACACGCACACGAGACTGCTGCTAAGTGGATGCTTGCTGGAGCATCGGGGGCCGGGCCCGGCCGAAGCCAGCTCTGCCTACGGGGAGAGATTGGGTGCGGCGCCCCAGGTGGGCCGTTCTTGGGTGCTGCCGCCCGGCCAGCCTTCCTCGGGGCGTGACTGATCTCGGAGCCTTCACGGGGAAGCAGGTTTCCAGGCTGCCTTTGGAACTTCCAGGCTGTGGGGTCCAGCGGTCGCCTTTCCTAGGAATCAGTGCAAGGCAAAGGCTCGGGCTCCCTGGGGACTTGGAGGTCTTGGGAGGGGCCAGGCCCACTTGTCTCTACCCTCCACCCTGCCCTGCCGATCACGCGTGTGCCCTGTGCAGCCCCGTTGCCGGAGGTCTTAAAGCCTTTTTCATCTTGAGTGATCTGTAAGTGTCCCTCAGAGTGGGGTTAGGGAACGTGCCAGAAGGGGACCCTGGGTGGGGAAGTAAAAATGGGGGAAGAAAGGCTTTCCTGCAAAGTAGGGGGAGGGAGCCGCTGCAGCTGCAGCCCGCCTGACCCCGCCCACCCACACAGGCCTCCCCAGTGGGCCACCCCCGGCCGGCCCCGCCTGCCCACCTGCTCCTGCGGCAGCAGAGCAGGGGAAGAAGGCTGCGCAGATCCCCGCCCTGGGACCATTCCAGGGCTGACAGGAAGACGGCACGAGCTCCCGAGGCATTTCCCCTGGGCCGCTGCCTTTTTTATTCAAAAAAATTTTGGAATTGATTTTTAGATAGAAGAAGGAAGAGAGGAAGAAATGTCGATCTATTGTCCCACTGGTGTTATGCATTCACTGGTTGCTGCTTGTGTGTGCCCCGACCGACCGGGGACCGAACCTGTGACTTGGGTGCATTGGGACGGTGGTCTGACCAACTAGGCTGTCTGGCCAGCACTCCCCTGGGCCTCCTTGACCACCACCCGGCCCACCCACACTCTCTCATCAGTGCCGGCAGCATCCTCCGACTCCCCATCCTCCCCATCCTCGGGCTTCTGTGTGCGTTGGGTCAGCAGGAGCCCCTGCAGGAGCTTGGAGGGCGGTAGTGAGCGAGGCCGGGTGCCCCTCAGCCATCGTCTTCATGACCTCGGAGCAAATCACTTTGCCTGGTTTTCTGCAGGGGCCCCCTGTCAGCACGGAGCGTGTTTAGTCCAGTCCCCCTCCCGTTCTACAGATGAGGAAGTGGAGGCACATGCAGCAAAGGGGAGCGGTTTGCTCAGTCATAATGACAACGGCCAAGGTATGCTGCCCTCTCCTGACTCCCAGTCCAGCTCCTTCCACCTCCCCTGCCACCTGGCAGAACCACACCTTCACTCCTTATGGCACCTGCAGAAGGAAAGCGGGCAACAGCGGACACGCGATGGCCATGGCCGTGGGCTTGGAAGCCTCGTCCTGCAGAGCCAGCAGCCAGGACGACAGCTCCGGTTTCCCACTCGGCCACACTCTGGCCAGTGTCTCCCTGAGCTGCTGGGTGCCGCTCCCTGATTAAGGGACAAAGAGAAAGCCCTCAGTGACCTGTCTATCTTCAGCCCAGCCCTGTGAAGTCTCTCGGGCCTTTTAACCTAGAGGGTAGGGTCTGTGGACCTACAGGACCCATAGGGCCCTCAGGTTATGCAAGAACCAAGGCGGTGAGTCTCCCTTTCTGCCTGTGGTAGGGAAAAGGCAATGCAATTTAGTAGGAGTCTAATAGCTAAGGAATGGTTATATCATTTCATGAAAGCCCATGTTTCTTTTCTAAATGTGTATATAATTCTTCTTTCTTTTTCTTTTTATCCTCACCTGAGGACTTTTTTTTTTTTTAAGAAGGAGGGGATGGAAGAGAAGAAAACATCGATTGGTTGCCTCCTGCATGTATCCAAACCAGGAATCCGACCTTCAGCCTAGGCATGTGCCCTGACTGGGAATCGAACCTGCAAACTCAGTTACCAGATGATGTTCCAATCAACTGAGCCACACCAGCCAGGGCAAATGTATATCTATTTCTCTGTGAATCTGTGCTCTTCTCTCTCAGGGTCATTGAGAGGGTTAATATAATACAGGAATGTGCCTAATACCTAGTAGGTGCTCAATAAATGTTTTCTATAGTTATCTTAAAAAGCACACATTTTTATATTCCATCTTTAAACAATGAAATTGAGTTGATTCCATGCAGTCCTTGGCTATTTTTCCAATGGATCAATAGTCCTCAAAGGCTCTAGCCCCTCCCTCCACCTGGAGGGAGGTGGAGGCACAGAGGGCAGGGCCCAGGAACCCTGGGGAGCATGCGGGCCTGGCGCCAGCTTTTGGCACTGTGGCATCTCTGGGTCCCACCCCAGCCATTCGATCGGATCATTCAGGAGTTCAGAGTCCCGACAACAGTACAGGAGTATATTCATACCCTGCCATGCAGCTTACAAGTTCACAGGTGCCATCTCTCATCTCTGGTGATCCACATAAAAGCCCTAGGAGATAAGCAGGAAAGGGATCCACTTTTTGTAGCTATGGAAACCAACGTTCCAAAGGTGCCACAGAAAGCAGAAGGCTCTAGACCCAGGTGTTCTGGTGTCCCCATCCGGAGTGAAATGACACTCTGGGGT